TTTTTCAATTTAATATGCTTGTCTCTTTAGCCACGGATACTTGGCCTGTACATTAGAAATGGAACTAAAATGCATTGTAATGAATATGTTGATTATTAAGTACTGACACAGGGAGAACACCATTGAGTCCATTGTGCACCCTTGTTTTCACTAAAGCTTTTTTAAAGAGCCCTGTCCTGAGCACTGTGGCCAAATCCTCTTTGACTGAGGCCTTGCTAATATCTGTTGGCTCCACCAAAGCAGAGCTGAAGCTTTTCTGACAAAGTATATGGCAGGATAGTTCCTCTCCTGTCCACATTTCCTGCCCATGGCATTATCCAAGCGGCTCATAATATGTAGTTGCCATCTCAGAGCACAGTGGTCACTTAACAATCATGTTGCCAGCCTGCACCCTGTCCATAACCAGTAGGTCTCTGGACAGTTTTTCCAAGAGCCCTTCAATGAACAGCTTTAATTGTCTCTTTATGTGGTGTGGTGACCAGTATTCAGAGTGCTTCCTTAGTAGGCACTCCTTAATCTTAAGCCTGCCAACACACAGTGAGATTGGCATCACTGGTTCAGGACCAAGAAATGGATTATTTCATCCTTTCCTAGCCAAGGTATCTGCATCTTAATTGCCCTGAATTCCACTGTGGCCAGGGACCCAGAGGAGTGTTACCTTGTTTCTGTCAGACAGGGTACGAATTGTCTGTTAACCAAAAACTATTAAGATACACCTGTCAAAATTCTCTGAAGGATCACATATGGTGCATAATTTTTTCCAAAATGTTTTGCCTGAATGTACAAGTGCATAAATTATGCTGAGGTGTAAATTATACAAGTAAATATAGTAAAAAAGAATGCCTTATATGGAGGTCATATCAGTTTGCTTGTGTCCTGGAATCAGTGCCTAAATCATTTAGTTTCTTCTTGTAATTAAATTCTATATTGGCAATGCTCATTATAAGTTGTCAGGCTGTCCCAGTTTCCCATAATTAAATTCACTTTTACTTAAGGATATATTGATCATGTATCAATGTGGTCAATGTGGTGTCTCCACCTTATCGTGGTGAGGGGGTTTGAGTATGCCAAGGACCCTGAGAGCTATACCAGCGGTAGCGTAGCTACTGGCAGGGCCTCCCTTGCTGGACAGGTCAAAGGGTAGGCATCAGACGAAGAGAGACACCAAAAACTGATGTCGGAAGCAGCGTCATCAGCAGCGACTTGAAGCACAGAGCAAATGATGCTCGAGATGGTTCAAGTTCGTATAGCAACAGGCGTGACCAGAGTGGTTTGAACGGCTGTTGTACTGCGATGTGGAAAGCAAATGGAAAAACTACCACATTATCACTTTTCCTGGATAGTCTCTTTCCAAAAACAGAAGATCGCATTAAGTGGAGAAACTGTTTTGGAAGAGACTGTGGACCTGTCGCCTGACAGATTACTGATGATGATGATATCATAAACAGTGAATCAATACATTATATATTCAGAAAACAAGCTGAGTAAACTGCAAAAGAAACACCATTATAAATTGTGTGTACTATATCAAGGAGTACCTTTTTCTTTCTTCTTCCTTGTATTCATGACAACATCCAGAAACTTTATGTATGAAAACATCATTCCCAAATAATTTACACTTGAAAGATTAAATAATTTATAAAAAGGAGTATCCCTCATATTTTTGTGTGTGAAACAATACAAACAATGCTATTAAACTCTAATCATTCCTATTAGGAAACAATGACTAGCCTGTTTACATTGTGTCCTAACTATAATTATTTCAGAGCATCCAATCAATGATAGAATTTAATATTTACTTTTACAAATACAATTGTGATATATTACAATATTCACTGCAGTTACAGAAAGTTTCTAAATACATAATACCACTTTCCAGTTCCTTTACCTAGACGTTTGACTGAAGTTTTAATTAATGTATTATGTTAACATTTATTTTCATGAGAGAGGCTTTACTGAGATAGATCCTCACCAAAATTATGTAGGGAAATGGACGGATATACAAAATGAATCAATGATACATTACAAGTCAAATGTATATATAGTTCTGTGATGAATAGATATGTTTCGAAAAACACATTATATAAACCTGATAACAGTATTAATATTATGAATCCTCTGAATATTTGGAAGATAACAGCAGCCTTCATATTAATAGCATTAACAAGGTTTTACTGTACACAATGTGACAATTAAATTCCTGAACTGATGATTTTTTATTGTAGAAAAAATACTGTAAATACAAATGAACTAATGCTATTACAGTAATACTACTAATGCCATCTATCAGGGATGAATGGGGCTAGTTAGAGAGAACGTTTATTTATATGATATGCAAGTATGAACTTGTTTGGTTGATGCATATGAGAATTACAATTGTTTTGAAGTTGTTCTTTTTCATCATGTCAAAGGTTTCAAAATGGAACAAAGAGCATCAATTAAGTTTTGTGTAAAATTAAGCATAATGGCTAATGAAATGTTTGGAATTTCGGAAAGTGCATATGGTGAAGAATGTTTACCGAGAGAAAGTGCGTTTGAATGGCAAAAAAGGGCAAGAGTCATTACAAGATGATGAATGGAAAGGCTGTCCTTCAGATTCCAGAAGAGTAGAATCAAAGGAAGTCATTCAAAAGTGTTCGGCCAAAGATCGAACTTTGAGTGTTTGGATATTAGAAGAAATGACAGGGATCAATAGAGGGACCGTATGTAAGATATCAGTCAAAGATTTGAAAAGTAATGTGTGTGCTCATTTTGTTCCTCTTTGTTAGTGCCGGATCAGGAACATAAACATGCTGCATCATCTGTTGAATTTGTTGAAATGATTGATGATGATAGAAATAAAAGTTGGTGTTTCATGTACAATCCAGAAACAAAATGTCAGCACACAACTGGGTTCAGTCCGAAAAAACCAAAAGCTCAGAAAGCAAGAACGCAAAAACTGTAGGTGAAAACAATGTTAACTGCATTCTTTGATGCTAAAGGTATCACTCATCATGAATCTGTGCCCCCCCCCCCAAAAAGAGACTTTAAATGATAAATTTTATAAAGAGGTGTAAGTTTTGAGGTTTTCACGGCAATGACTATGAAGAAAGTTGTCTTCTGGGATCTGGCGCCGTGTATTCTGTATACTGCTCTCTGTATTCACACGCAATTCACTGCCCTGAAGATGAGGCGATATGTTCCTCCAAAACGTCAGTTAAAACCAAGAATACACGGCGCCAGATCCCAGAAGACGACTTTCTTTATAAACAGGTGATTAAGAGATTGATCATTTGAGTTCATCACGTTATGCCTAAGATTCAGGAAAGTGGGTCATGGTATCTTCTGCATGACAATGCACTGGCTCATTCTTTGGGTACTGTCTCCTACTTTTTGGTGAAACAAGGGATCCCCGTGTTATTCCATCTACCCTACTGCCTTGGTGACCGGGTGACTTTTTTATTTCATAAAAAAACTGTGATGAAAGGGACAAGATTTGAGGTTCTTTCATTGATCCAACACACTGTGATTAGAGAACTGAAGGTGATATGGGAAGAAACGTTTCCTGGGAATTCAATTTGTTGTATGAGTGATGTAAATGTGCAGAAGTGGGCAAGGGCTATACTGAGTAATGGCATTAATAATTATTTTTTATCCTTTTGTGTGGTTTTTATGGCCTTGGTTTGGGAACTTAATTGTCACATTATGTATTAATTAATATCTATTGGGTCTTTTCATTATGAGCTCTACAGAATTAGGAGGCATGCAGTAGAGCAGTTGGTTGAAGCACTATGCTACAAGCCAGAAGGTCACAGGTTCGATTCCTGATAAAGATACTGGATTTTTCAATTGACCTAATCTTTCCAGCTGCACTCTGGCCCTAGGGTCGACTCAGGCTCTAACAGAAATGAGTATCAGGAATCATCCTAGAGGTAAAAATCAGCTGGTGCATAAGGCTGACAATCTCACTACCATCTGTGGACTGATTGTGTAGAAAATGTGGGAGCCTTGATATTTCACAACCCAATGGGCCTCCATGGTCTGTTACAGGGATAGTTGTATTTAACTCTATACATTCTAGTCCATCACACTAGTAAGCTCTACTATCAAACAGTTATTATACAATCCAGTACAATTCAATTTGTAGATATTTATTGCCTTTACATGTTTCAGTAAGCTGACCATCTTCAGAAGGCATACGATCAACATGTTCAGGAACTACTATTACAAAGTTCATAATACAAATGACCTTTTTACCTTCCAGTAGATGCTTTGGTCTGCTTTGTTCGAGATCCTATGGGAAAATTTCTGCTATAGTACTGGACATTATAATAAATAACACCTCATGCCATCTGAAAGAACACAAAGTAGCGGCAAAAACTGGATACGTAGGCTCCTTATGTTCCCCCTCAATGAAAGTAAAAATAGGAAGGAACTGAACACTATAATAAACATAGCACTAAATAATGGATATAAAAAGGATGACATTTTGAACTTGTATAACCCACTGAAATATCAGCAAAATAATCAGGGAAGTAACACCAAAACTGAACAAAAATGAGTTACATTCACCTACATGGAAAAGTATATATGTAAAGTTACAGAGTTGTTTAGCGGCCTCCGTAGTCTAGGGGTAACGTTCCCACCTCATGACTAAGGTACGTGGGTTCAAACCCAGCGGAGGTCGTGGAATTTTTAAGGGCAGAAAAATTCAGGGAACAAGTCCTCCGGGAGGGACTTCAAGCCATGGGTCCCGTGTACAGACATAAAATGTGTACGGCACATAAAAGACCCTCATACCTCAAGGAGGCCTCTGAGCCAAATTATAAGGACATTTCCCGCCCAACAATAGTCTCTAACGCCTCTGGTAGATGGGGGAAGCATCTAGATACCGCTGAGCCAGTACAGGCCGAACTCGCTGGCTGAGTCGGGACTGATGGCACACACCAGTATCGGTAGGGTATAGAGACTGGTAGAATATCACAGGGGGATGTACAATAGACCACTGGTCGCGGTGCATGGGGAAACCCACCTTCTCCAATAATAATAATAATAATAATAATAATAATAATAATACAGAGTTGTTTAAGGATGTGCGTACAATGAATACATACAAGCAAAGCAGCATATACAAAATGACCTGCTAGAGCTGTCATAAATTATATATCAGGTAAACAGGCCAGAACTTAACAACAAGATACAACGAACATTAGAAACACGAGGCATAATAGAGAAGAATCGGCTTTTTCCCACCACATATTAGGTAAAGGTCACCAATACAGGCCTATGGAACAGATTGTGGAAATGATCTAACATGCTAGAAAAGACAATATCATGAATATAAAGGAAATTACTATATTTATCAATTTAAACAACTTAATAAATTATAGAAGAACAAAAAAAACTATAACCAGAATAGTATGTTTGACATTGTGATAAGACATGAGTACATGCTCACAGGAGCATCGCAGGGAACAAGGGTATAAATATGCTACACAGCACATGACAAAAGAGTGCTGCAAAACACAGCAAAAGAAACAGCTAGACATCACAACGATACAGGTAGGAATGCATAAGATAAATTTCAAATAAATTTGGGGTTACAGAAATACAATGAGAGTATATATATATAATACCCATAATATAATTGCAGAACCATAACAAGCTGGGGGGGGGGATCACTGTGAGGACCTTTGAGGACTCCAAATAATACCCCAATATGCCATTTTAACAGAAGAGGCACAAGGACACAAACAATATCGGTCCAAGATTTTAAATATTAGACATTAATAAATTCAAATAACTGTAAAAAAATTATTATATAAAACTTCTAAGTATGTATTACAAACTTTGTAATAGTAGTTCCTGAACATGTTGGTCTTATGCCTTCTGAAGATGGTCAGCTGACCGAAACACGTAAAGGCAATAAATATCTACAACTTGAATCACACTGGATGGTATTAACATTTTATTCTATAAGAGAGTTTCACCTTCTTAACTATGGAATTATAACATCAATTTGCATGCAAGAACTTACAAAGCCTATTCTCCTATTGCATGGATTTCTAGTCCTACTTTTCTATCACTATTATTAATATCATTCCATTTTATTTATTATTTAAGTACATATTCAGTTCATGCAAAATTTGTCAGATATAATCTCAAAGCTTTGCTATATTTGTAATACTGACCTATAAACAATATTTTATATATAACGTGTAACTATGTTTATAATCTATGTCTGTACCATATTTCACATGCCTAGTCCAATAGTTCATTAATTATCACTATCAAAGTGAATGCTAAACAAAATATTCTCATGTCACCATATTGGTATTTTACAGTCTACCAAAATTACCTTAATAAAAATTGCACATTTTTTGAAGATGTATTACCATAAACTGCCTCACAAGTTCACTGTCGATCATGTATTTATTACAGATTTCAGAGGTGTAAAAAGCATGACATTCATTTGGCCTCCAGTGGCATGATATTCATACCATATTTCATAAACGAAAGGCAGGGACATAAAAGACATTACGTTGATCTAATACCCCTACTTGATTTCCTAAAGAGATGAAAACAGGCTGATAAAAGAATGTTGCAATGAATACATTAATTAATATTATAACAGCTTCTAATGTCTGGAATCTTTAAACTACTGTGCAGGAAGTAATTTTATTTCAGATCTCTCACTGTCCTATTTCTGTGTGTGTGTGGTGTGTATGTGTCTGTGTGTGCACGTGCATGTATATATTATATTTAATTAAGGCTGACACACTGACGTCTGATCTTGACTGATGCATAAATCATTCCACTTCCTTCTATTTAATTTGAGGCACTGAATAGCACCCACTGGTTTCGTGAAAGGAATGCATTCCTTGAAAGATATTAGTTAAATTAAAATGAATTGCCTATTAAACTAAAATCAATAATTACAGATTCAGTGCTGTAATATAATACAGACTTAATGTAAGCTGTAGTGAACTCTAGTGTGTATAAATTAGTCAGAGTGCTATAATTAATTGTAGTTATGAGTCTGAAGAATCCAATAAAAAATATTCCCAATCCAAAGCCCATGTCTAGTCACTAAGTATGTGACAATATATAAATAGTACTAAAATTAGGTAAATGGGGGAGATCTGAAGTTATGCAACCAATACTACTGTTGGCCAACTTTTTATAAAGAAAACAAAACAGTTATTCAAATAGTCATTTCTGTAAAAAAGGTAGCATCAAAGACAAGAAACAATCTGGCTGCCCTTCAAACCCTTCAGAGATGAAATAATAAACAAAGTTCAACAGTGTCTACTGCAGTCATCAAGAAAATCAGTCAGAACACCCTGTCAGCAAGCTGAATTAAGCTATGAAAATGCACAAAGACATATAAAGTGCTTAAAATTTTGTGCATACTGGATTCATATTGTGACAGATTGGGCCGTTTCTAGGAGACGGATATGTAAACATGTTCCAACCAACGAGCCTCCAGTAACAGAAGGGCATCTAGTGCTAGGTAACAGACCAGTAAACACACATCACAGCAACGAATGTGCAACAGTAAGGCATCCATTGCCACGCAATGCATGGGTGGACATGCCTGACTACAATACATGATATCCATTCCTGAGCAGCAATGTGTTTTCTGTGGGTGGTCCATGCCGAGCCTAGATAGGGAACAGCGAAAATTGTTCAAGGAGATTCGACAGGAAGACATCGATATGGGAGAAGACCAGGGTGGAGATCAGATCAGTGATCAGCGAGAGAAGCAAGAGGAGAACTGACAGTTGCCTTCATGTGGTGTAGTTACAAGGAACATCAGTGTGTGATCATTGTTCACAGTTATGAAGTGTTATAATTATCATGTGTGATGACTGTCTGTATTTCCACCTGGTGTAATTCTCCAATAAACAGCTTCGTCTAAAGCCGCAACCTAGTAATTATTTGTCACGGATACCCGGAAATGTGACGATATAGTAAATGAACCTAAAGCACCAGATAAAGTAAAAAGAATGTCACTGTCAGTGCTTTCAGCAGGTACAAAATGATACCATTTTGGACAATGGTTTCACTTATGTGACTATGTTAACTATCAAAATAGTACGGAAGCAACAAGCCACGTGATGTGCCATACATTCAGAAAAGTTGAGAATGTGGTGTGCTGCTTCATATCAGCACATACTTTGTCCCCTTTCCTATAAAAATACTGATACTGTGACCCCCTATCAGCTTTCTCAAATCCTAAATTCCCCACCTCTTGCTGTGAAAAGGATCACAGTAAAATATGGTAGATATACCATACCCAGAGGATTTTTTTTATACTAGTATTGTTAGATATATTACTACAGGTACTGCATGTGTTTCTTTTGTATGGCAGAACAAAGCCAAGCATGTACACAGCAGCCCGATAACTTCTACTCTTCACTCCTCTCCCAGTAATTGTGCAGTAAGAGCTAAATTATGTGGTGGCAAAAATAGTTTCAAAGGATTTATGAGCATAACAATCTTCAGACCTGTCTTCCCCAAACTGAGGATATTTAAAACACAATGCATATGCAAAGAATCCTCACAAAACTAACATGATGGAAAATGCACAGAAGAGATATCACTGGAGAAAACTTTCTGTGACTGAGAAGACGCAATAAGAAGTATGAATGTGCCTACTCTTACTGAAAGAGAATATATCAATAACTTTATCAAATAAATTTCTGTAACAATGAAGGAGGATGTCTCATTCAACATATTCTGTGAATATTTCCAGATGACAGGCTGGAGCTACATATTAAGACATCTCTTGTGGGTTCTGCAGTTTTGATTCATCCTGTTTACAGCATACATAAACACATTTATATTTTAATAAACATTAATTAATTTGAAGTGATCAGTACAAATGAAAACAAATATACAGTATAAAAAACAAACATAAAAATGAAGGAGGAAACAAAACACAACAGCGTTATTCAAAGGTGGCAAAACACACAACTATATTTTTATAGAAAAAATTCACTGTCAAAAGAGGAAAATTAATTCTTTAACTTAGTTAATACAAAAATCTTGTAGCTGAGTATTCATAAAATATGTAATCATGTTCTCCCATTTAAAATGATGCTAACCCAAAAATGTTAACATTGTCAGACAACTCTCTTACACAGGTTTCATTATGCAACAGCTTTCTCCTGTCTGTGCAGGGCAAAGGGCAACTAAAAATATTAAAGTATATTCCTAACTCTTACCTCTTCAATGAATAGTAGCATAATTTCCTTTAAAGATGGATTCTTGTATTTCCATTTCCTGCATTTAGTTTTTTCTTATTACATACACAGTTTAGCAATAATGCAATAATTTTGTATTCCAACTGAAGAATACAAACTGATTCAGATTAGAAATGTATACTGGAACTTAGAATGGTGGAAACCAAAATCTCTTTTACTACACTTAAATTAATAGGGTTGGTAGGGACTCTTAAAAGTAACTGACAAGCAATGAAGTATAAAATTAAATTTAAACACTCATACCCTCATAAGACTCTCAGGATATAAGTATCTAACCAGTATTCAGATATACACATATAAAATAATTCTACTGAGTGATATTTACTTCAAATATTACAATTCATTTCATTTTCCTCTAGAAAATTAAATGTTCCCATCATGGGAATAATTAAACTATGCTACTGTCCCAATTTTTAAACAGTGAATGTGGCATATAAACTAGTTCTCAAGAATCGATGTACTGGTAAATAGAAATTTACTCTCATGCTATATATGATTATGTGATTAACCCTTTGTCCCTTCCACCTGAAGCACTAATGCATGTTGCTAGCAATCCAGGTATTATTCAGGTACTTAAATTTTAAATGACTTTATGACATTAGAATGAGCAGGAACCTTTTGATTTTACTACATGCTTGTACATTTGAAAGAGCAAAGGTTTAAATGAGAAAACAAATGTCCATTGACATTACAAATACAATTATATATCGAGGACATGCATGCAAACGAGACTCCTTGTGCATCAGATCATAATTGTGAAGTTATATCTGGTTACTGTCAGATTTGTAGTAGCAGCGTATTGTTACATATGGAATCCCCAGCTCAAAGTTGTCACGAGGCCAGTACTTGAGAACTGGTGTTTGATGTGGTTGTTCATCCTTAACAGAGAAGTAGGCAAACAGTACGCATGCTGTATATGAGGCAATGAAGATGAACACATGCCAAAATGCATGTAGGTATGGAAAGTTTATGGCTGACCACGCATCACAGAATAAGCGATCATTAATCCAGCAAGTTACAGCCAGTAACCATATGGCAGCACAACGAATTCCAAGACGGTACACACGACTGCATCGACACCTAATAACAGGTATTTCATTTATGAATGTTCTTATTGTCTGTTAAAATTATACTTACAATCAATTTTTCAGATTAGTCTAAACAGCAGGCACCAGCATGCTGGATTTTTGCAGCGTATCACATAATATAGCTGCATTTTTTCTTGACCTCGACATTAGATGGATGCGAGTGGTCAGCTTCATGCCTCAAACATTTTACCCCTGGGAAGAGAACCCCAGCTGTCCAACCCACAGCCCACCGCTATACTGACTAAGCTATACAGTGACAGGCTATGGCCTGAATGGCTTGTTTTTGGGCTGGACAGCCAAGGTTCAATTCCCAGCAGAGACAAGACTGGCTCTGAGGCCCACCCAGCCTTCTATCCAATGGGTACCAGTGGCCCATTCCCCCAAGGTAAAGAGGCTGGGGTGCATGAAGTTGACAATTCACCTCCATCTAGAGTCAAGGTTGAGAATTGTGCAGCTACACCTCCACTAGCCAACACATTTTCATGGTGTGGCACTTACTTAATTAAGCACAGGGACAACTTCACCTTTATCTTCTTTACACAAAACAAAAGAAAACAGATAAAGAGTAATATCTTAAAATGTTTATGAAATATGAAGACAACTTTCCACATATTTAGTTTAAAATAATAAAAATAAATTCATATAAAATATTACAATATTCATTGGCACCCTATTAATTTCAAAGCATAGGAAGGGGTTAAAAACTCAATTAAGAGAAACCTTATAACAGACTCACAAATCACACTGGACTGATCAAAATCTGTAGACTCTGCCCTTCCTCTAAACACAGGTCTAGTTAGAGTCAAGAATTTTTTCTTTTAATTTGAACGACTACAGTTGTCGTACAACATTAACTATTTGAGACATAATTATCCAGTTTCCTGCCACTTCTATGCTTCCAGATTCTCATTAAGTAACTGATGAAAGTCAATTCAAAATCCTACCAATTTCCAATACACATGTCAATGGAGTGGAGAACAACCAACTGAACAAATACCAAATTTTAAGGTGTCAAAATATGAAAATTCTGGAATTTTGTTGACTTAACACTCTTGACAGTTTACTATTTAATCAAAAAAAAAAAACCTCCGTGGTTTTAGTCTGCAAGCGAACTATACCGACTGAGCAACCATGGCTTGTCGGCGAAGTTTAGTGCCAACTTTTACAGATAGAGGGTGTCGTATGGTCAGAGCAACGATTCCTGACGGCTGTTAATTGTGGTTTTCTAGACCAGATTGAAATCTAAATCCAATCTTAAATAAGGAATAGATATTAAATATGCTGGATAATGGCTGGAAGTATGGAAAATGCATAAATTATTTTTTGAAAGTGTAAGAGTGGCAATGGCATCTGTGAATGATGGCATATGTGAAGGAACTGGGCAGAACAAATAAAAAGGGAAAGGTATTGGAGAGAGTGATGAAATATTGAATAAGAATGAGGGAAATACAAAAGACAAATCTGCTAGGGGACACACTTGGACAGCAAAGCAGAAAGGAAGGAAATGACAAGAAAAGCAAAATTGAATATAAATTGGAAAGGCTGGACATGAGGATATTTGCAAAAACTGAGGTATTAATAAGAACATTTGAATGAGAATGAGGGAAATATGTGTTGGTACATAACGGCAAAATATGGAAGTTATGAAGAAAGACAGAAGTTCATTGACACTGCATAATAACTTAAAAGGAAACAGAAGAAGGAAGCATGCACAGAACAATGTATAGGGAAAGCAAGGAGTGGAACAGTATGATGGAAAACAGGAATTTTGAGACTAAAGAGGGTCAGTAGGAACACTGATCACAGATTTACGACACATGAAGCAAAGAAGAATGGAGTCACATACAGTGAAACCCCCATTTAATGTTCCTCAGTTTAAGGTTTCCCATCATTTAATATTCAATTTCAGTGATTCCAAGTCAGAAAATTGAACCTCCATTTGAGATTTTCCTTAATTTAGCGTTCAAATTCACTGGTCCCCAAAGAAACCTAAAATAGGGGTTTCACTGAATTAAGGCATGAAGGAACAAAGGGTTGGAGGAAAGATACTGTGGACAAGAGATTTAGGAATATTTATGCAGAAATAAGTATTACGAAGACGTAAGAATAAAGGGCACTGGCAGAAAATGTGAATATAAAGGATTACTACATAACAGCACATTAAAATCAATGGTAAACTGAAAATTTTACTATAAGAATTCTATTTGTTATAGGCTCATTGCATAGACATTCCTTATTAGAAGAAATAAAAATTAAACTTAGAATGGAATTATTCAGAAGAAATAGTAATGTTTTTATAATAAAAACCTACGTGATTTAAGCATATTTAGGCTATAGCATCACTGCTGTTCAATAAACAACTTATGGTAATTGCAAGACTAATTAAAGAACTCACAAAAATTACTGCTGACTGGTAGGCCAGCAGTAAACTACATAAATGATCCATAGAATATGTGTTTTGGGAATAGTAAGCAATTGGAATGCCAAAACATAGGTCCAAGAAATGAAACCCCAGCACTTCAAAGTATAAAGAGTAACAGACTCAATAAAGTACTCATCCATCCCTTCATTCAGTCATATTAAATATGCGAGATCTTACCGTTTAAGCTCATGAATCAAAAGAAAGAATGCAGGCAGTCCTAAAGTCATGAGAGCAAATGCATTGGCAGCTGGATGTAAAACAGCCAATCCTGTAGCAACAATTGCTAAAACTACAGCAGCCATACTGAACAGCTTCCTGAAATTCAAATATGTTCTCTAGTCTCGCGTATCAGGGTAAAGATGTAAGGCAACAGCATGTTACAACACATGAGAGTAACTCATAACTAAAATGAAAGAACTTTTAAGACAAAGTTCATAAGAAGAGTATGCCTAGCATTTGTGAACTAAATACATTCTCAATAAAGACCCCTAATCAGTTGGATATCATCTTATAATAAACTATAACAAGTTTGCAGATTTGGTACTATGGTAAGATATTCTTACATGATATCCACTCATATAAAAAATAAGACTACATATGAATTAAATAAGCTAATCTGAAAGGGTATTCCATGTTTCATTCACCTTACATTACCAGGCAGAACTTTCCAGTATCTATAAGGACAGGATAAATAGTCTCTGTGAACTCTATCCCACACATTCAATTACCTGCAGTAATAGGCAGGATAACTGGCATGGATAAAAATACAACACATAATTTGCTTCTGAGTTATAAACACTTCTTTCTGATGCTGTTTTGTCAAAAAATATTACACTGCTTTGTTCCAAACAGTCATGTAAGGACAATCCATTCAAGACCAGTGTCATGGCTGATATGTTTTCACAATTAATGTTCTCTGCAGTTGCATATTTAAACTACCTGCCCTCACAAGTCACTATCTGAATGTGGGATCATATAGTTCAATTTCAACTGTGGCTAATTGCAGCCATCAGTAAGTTTTAACATGGCGGCTGACTCAAATATGGAAATCGTTTTCTTGTCTAAACCCAACAATTTATCTTCTTTATTTTCTGGAAATATAGTTTCCCATGAGTACTTATGGAAATTAGCTTTACCATGTCCCACACCTTTCTTATCTCAAATAGTACCATATTTACACATGTATAGGCCGCGTGCGTGTATAGGCCGCAGCACAATTTTCAGACAGAAATTATAGAAAAAATAATTTTCTTGGAATATTATTTCAGGAGTATTACACCCTGTATTACTAATTATGAATATATATTTTTTTTAAATGAAGTGTGATTTCGAATATTTCGAATATAAGCCGCACCCCAGTTTTCCTCTTGAATTTTTGGCAAAAAATGTGCGGCCTATACATGCGTAAATACGGTATATGCTTCTTCTACAAAATGAGTTTTCTTCTTTTCTCCTTTAAACAGTCAAGTATTTATGTGATGCAATGGCTCTGTCAGGTTAGATATATGCACAACTCATCATAAGTTCTTTGAATACTTGTGGTGGTACTTCATGAAAAGTAGTTATGTTATTTTTGTAACAAAAAGTCTGGTATGGTTTCCTAAAACAATTGGTGACAACATTTCTCTGGTTCTTTGGAAATCATCCTTATTCCACTATAACTTTTAAGTTTTGAACACATTAGTTAGTGTAACATTCTATGCTGATCTTTATAAGTAGATTATTAATACTGAGATTGTGATCATCTGGATTGTGATGCCATTCAGTTTCGTAGGTGAATACTAACATTTTGGATAAACCTGCTGCCTCCACCTTCAAGATCAATGTAAGCAGGGGAAGATGTGGTTAGGTTATATACGCAGGGTGGAAGACATGGTGGAAGAAAGATGGTCACTCAGATCCATAGGATGGAGATAGGAGACAGAACCCAGTCCAGGTCAATAGGAGAGGTAAACACTCTACTCTCTTACCTTGAAGTTGGAGACAGCAAGTTGCTCTGAAACAGTAGTACCCACCTACAATGCTATACAGTGTTAAAACTCACAGGTCCTTAATCAGAACACTCTCTGCCACAAAAGCCTCAAAACTTATATTTCTCCAGTGGCTTACCTGTCATTTTGAAACCAGTAAGGGAAAAATCTTCTTGGGAAAAACATGGAGAAGGCAGCCATGAAGACCCACAGAATAGCTAATTCATCCAGAAGTTGACCAATGAGGCTCAGTGTAGCATGAAAATATGCGGAACTCATCCCCACCACCATCAGCAAGATCCAGATCACATGGATGGCTGGATTAACAAAACGCCCATATTCTCGGAACAGATGCATCAGTACAGGAGGCAACAGGAAGAACAGAACATTGCTGAACTGCGTAGTAACAATGGTAAAAATATAATTAAACTTCAATTTGCATTATCTGAATCGAATGCTCACATAATAAATACAAAAAATCGTAATAACAACATATTAATAATTAACTGAGGCATTATATCTTGATATCTGTGGGTATTCTCCAGGCATAAGTACAGACTATACCAAAACTGAAGTGGGCCCCACTCAGCATTCTCATACCAGTGGTAGGTAAAGTAGGTGACAATAATAAATAAATGTACTATGAACACTGATATTTATATATCCATCAAAATCTCTATCATTACTCTTTATTGCTTGTTTTTCCTGCCACCCCCACCAACAATACATTTTCTCTACTAAAAACTGATGAATGGCCATATTATTAATTACTACATACTCAAATGAAGTCTCAACTGAAATAAAACCTAATGCAATCCATAATGCAACTCCAACTCATCTATAAAAGTCTGTGAACTTCTCCAGAATGTTGGGATGTCTTTCCATAGCTGGCAACTATACATGCTGGTCCTTTGTTTTACCCATCTGTGGTGCATATCAATGTACATGTACATCCTCTACATTTTCAACATCTAGAACGCATATCAATGGGTCCTTTTAAAAAACACATAAGTATGAATCACTAAATCATAACAGACACTAAAAATGTTCATAATACATATTTAATGGTTGTATATAGCATGTTTAAAATAGTTGCTATGGACACTATGGCTGTGAAGGATGTGTTTTCATCAGAAACCACATATATACAAGTGGCATGACCAGCAACAAAGTTGTTATCCAACTGCATGCATCTTCTTTCCTCTCCGCACTTCCTCCCCCCAGTTATTCCTAAACATATAGTAACTGAACAATAGCACCCCAGTGGCTAGGGGCATCATTAGTTGGCCATATAATACTATTAAATGATAAAAAGTCATATATACATCAGGTTTAAATTTGACAACATACATCAATATTTTACAGTTTACTGAATGTAAGACATCCATCATATGCTGATGTATTTCATTATTTAGAGAAAATCATGCATACCTGTACACTCTCTGCATATTCTGGCTCTGAAATAAGTGTAATATCCTGTCACCAAAGCAATTCACTAGCTGTAGCCATACAAAGAAATGCCAGAATCTTATTCCTAAAAGATTTGTAACATTTTTGACGATTTACAAGTGTGTAATAATGATAGCAATTGTCATTAATTAAAATGTGTTGTGGTCCAAATCTGATTATGTTTACTAAAATCATAACAATTTTGAAAAAAGATAGAGCTCACTACTTGGGGTTGATTATGTGTCTTGAAACTTCATAAATTAACAAGTTAAAAGAAAATATGGAAGAAAAAATGCCGAGTCACATAAAAACCACCATTTTTTTTCTAAAAATTATAATACTTACTGTGTTAACAAACTCGGCAATAACAGGCGAAATCAAGTAGTTGCCCTCACACCAGTCCACAGGAGAACTTCCTGGTTCTAGATGCTCCCACATAGTTTCTAGCTTGAACTTACGACTTCCACAGTATTTGACAATTTTGGCGGCCTAGAATTATGAAAAGTACATGTCAAAATCTGACACACAAATGCATACACATAAACATTTTTATTGTCATGTTAATTTATCATAAACTTTACTTAAAAAATATATTCATATTAAATACTGTAAATTGCAGTGTGCCAGAAATAGAATAACATATTTTACAGATTCTAAATGACTTCCTCAATCTGCTGTAATATATCTAGGAGTTGCACACACTTCAACTAACAGATTCTATATGAAAGCATTTAATGTTTCCTTCAATCTGATCATATTAAGATGACATACTTTACATAGAATAATTTAAGAAAGGCTCCTATCTGATTATGCCAAAGTTCTGTATTGGTAACTAGTTGCAGCCTTGTTTTAGGGTACTGGAAAGCTGTACAGACAGTCATCAATATTCATTCAATTAAGAACAAAATGACTTACACTTTTTTTTAACAAGATCCTTTCTCTTTCCTAAAACAATCTTGAAATTCCCATAAATAACCTTCAGTGACAGTGCTTCACTGACACAGACCTTGGACAAGGTCCACCCACACCCACTGCTACATCACGTGAAACCACAATTTTGTGCCCAAAACAAATTATTTCTTAGGCAAAAACTTCCAAGAGTAATGGAAACTCCTACAAAATCTATAGGTAAAGAATATCTATTACTAAAAATATGGACATTTTGGATTTGGTGTTCTGTCAGCAGTGATAATGAAAAGTCATATCTGCTGAGATTAATGCTGAATAGACAAGTGAGGCAATAGCCATTTCAGACGAACATTTTGCTTCCATCTTCAGAGTCAAAGGTTAAGCCACGCAAGAAACCAGCATGAAGCTGACAGAATGTAGAGCAGCTATGCTTGATGCTTACTCTTCAACTTTTTCAACATCCCTTACTGAGAGAGACTTCCACTGGGCCCAGTAGCCCTTGTATATGGGGCCCCAGTCATCAATTTCCTTCCATTCTGGACGTTTTCCAGCCTCTATTTCTTCTAGAATCAGTCATAGGTCTGAGTAGCTCAGCTGTTCCCTCCAAATGGCAGTTGGGTCCAAGGTGTCTGTGGCTACAGCCGTAATATCTCGCACCTGGTTTACTTCTCCATGCACTTCGTCTTTTTGACATAGTCTTCGAGAGAGAGCATTGGCTTTGCTGTGTTTCTGACCCTGGTGGTGCTAGAATTTATAGCTGTATTCCTAAAGCCATTGGATCAAGCAGTCCAGTTGTCCTTCGAGGTTCTTAAGGCTCAGGAATCACGTGAGCACAAAGCAGTTGGTACACAGGTGGAATTCTTGTCAACAGAGTTATTTACAGAAATCTTCTACTGCCCTCACGATTAATAGTTCTCGCTGGATGATGCAGTAATTTCTCTCTTAGGGGCGGCGCCATAGCTCAAGCGGTTACTCGCTAGCTTCCCACCGCGGCGGACCGGGTTCGATCCCGGGTCTGGTCAAGTGGTATTTGTGGTGGACAAAGTGGCGCTGGGGCAGGTTTTCTCCGAGTACTTCGGTTTCCCCTGCCAATCTTCATTCCACCAATTGCTCCACAATAACCCTCACCTATCATCTGGGGCTGGTACAATAGGCCAGAAGTGGCCGCAGTACAAGGGACTTAGTCCCACCCCACTAGCAATAAAAAATTATCTCTTCCATGTTCGGCGTCTTACCGTAGCAGGCTCCTGGCTCGCGTTGAAATTTGAAGAGAACACGACGTTCATGTTTCTCTGTTGCAAATATACAGGTATCGACGACGAGAAGGCCAAGGTGCCGCGGGGACATAGTTTATACTGTCACGATTTAGGGGGTGACTATAGACGGAGTTTGGATTGGTGAATGGATTTACTGACCACGTTAATAAGCAACTCGTAATTACAGATGACTGACACATACAGACTGGTGTCCTCAGTCTATCAGACTCTCCATTAGCCGCTTCCTGAAAACGGGTTTTAACACAGGAACTCTAACAGTCTCACTGAAGTACACACTCCAGAAACCACATATAAAGTCTTCTTTTCACAGCAGCACTCTTGCAACTTACTCTTTTCTTCACAACCTCCCACACAGAACTCTTGCCCACTACCAAACTCCGAGGCTGGCGGTCATTTCGCATCAACCGCTTAGTTATATCTTCACAGGCTGGCTTTCAACTAACTGGGTCGCACAAACTGTCTTCAAGATAACCCCTTTGCAAGGACAGAGTAGAACACACCGTTTCCAACAGTAACTTTATTGTTGTGGTGACGTGTTTACAGAGCCGTTGCATAGCAACGACTGTTGTCTCATTATTCGCGGTCTTGGCCTAGTAACGGGTCTATACGCCAGAATATATAGACTGTAAATACTGAGGAAAGGACAGAGCCCTAAGAAACCCCTGCCGCTATTTCTCTGGATGCTGAAAATTCATCTTCTATCGAGGTTTTAATTTTTCTGCTAGTGAGGTAAGAAACAATTAGCTTAAAAAGACATTTAGAAAATTATAATTCTGACAGCTTGTATAGTAAGCCAGAGTGCCAAGTTGTGTCACAGGCCTCCTCAATATCCAGGAACACAGCAGCCATAGACATATTACTGATCCATCAGCTTCATACATAAAGTGTAGTGCTGTGATGTACTCAAACGGCAAACTGACTTACATTTGTAAGATTTGAGGCTTTCACGGCGGTGACTATGAAGAANTACATGTAGCATATTTCTTTCCCCAGTGAGTCTCTCGATTGTTCTTAGAATCAGCTTCTCGAAAATTTTGCTTACAGTGGGCAATAAACAATCGGAAGTAAATTTGGGGGGAATGTCGAGTATTTGCGTGGTATCGGCCAAGTTACGATTTTTGCTTCCTTCCAAGGTACTGGGAAGTGACAAAGCTGAAAACAATGGTTAAACGAATATGTCAGCTGAATAAGAAGTCTTCTTGGAAGGTGTCTGAAACATTCGTTTGGAATGCAATAAAAACCACAAGCCTTTCCTAATTTCAAAGATTCTGTTATTTTTTTGAGGCGTCATAGGGTCGGAATTTCACAGGTGTCTTCATAGGTGACAGACATCAGAGCGTGCCCTCCAGCATCTACTTATAGTTTACGACATAGTCACATAAGTCATGCGGTGTGAACTGCTTTTCTATGCAGTTTGCAATTATGTTGGTTTTATCAATTGGACAGGAGGACACGCAGTAGCGTAGTTGGTTGAGGCATTATGCTACAAGCCGGAAGGTCGCGGGTTCAAGTCCCGATGAGGTCATTGAATTTTTTTTTAATTTACCTAATCCTTCCAGCCGCACTATGGCCATTGGGTTGACTCAGCCTCTAACAGAAATGAGTACCAGGAATATTCTTGGGGGGAAAGGGCTGCCGGCACGTAGGGCTGACAACCTTGCTGCCATCTATGAGCCGATTGTCTAGAAAATGTGGGAACCTCAACATCTCACAACACTATGGGCCTCCACGGTCTGTTGCAGTGATAACTTTACTTTGCTTTATCGATTGGACAAAATATAGGACCTAATAAACCAAGAATTACAGACGATGCCTTTGGTGCACCCCTTTTGTGAAGGATTTCTCAATTGGCCATATTGCTTGAGGTGTGAGTTCGCAGTTTGCTATCTTTGTTTCCCATCGTTGAAGTTGTCCTTTTCGTGTCATTTCCCCAAGTTTAGTGACCCACGGTACTGCCGTTTTGCATGCTGGAGCACTGGTTTCTTGACACATTTTTCGAAGCTTCTCTTTATACTTTACTAGACGATCTAGGTATTACAATACCTAGTTCATATTTCCGATCTACAATTGTAGCTTTTCTCGTGAACAGCTAATTTATCACTTTCCTCAGAAGAATAAATGTAGATGCTTGAAGATATTAGATCAGAGACAAGGCTTCGAAACAGCTCCCAGTGTGTGAACTTTTCAGCTGGATCTAAGGCTTCCGTAGCTCTAACAGTATCTACGTAGAATGGCTGGAAGGTGATCCGAGTCCAAGAAGTCAGAGACAATAATCTCTGACAGTCGAACGTTCTAGTGGAGCATAATTTCCAGAACATTACCTCTCCCATCAGGAGTTTAATGTGTAGGAATTGTGGATCTGAGATTTCAAAGTCAAAACTAACAAACAGTCCCAAGAGCTTCAACCCTCTGTCTGTGTTACTCCACACCCTTTACGAAAAAATTTAAACAGCTGTAAGCAACATTTCAGTATTTCCAATCGGTATGCAGATACTTGTTGCTTCTATTGAAAGGAGGGTTGGCAGGTTTATGTAAGTATATGGGATGCCTTTTTATTATTGCAACGGCAGTTCCACCTTTGTGCCCATCATGACCGTTGGTCCGATAAATATTGTGACATGTTGACCCCTACCTCCCCAGCTGCACGTAGCGGTAACATAGCGCTCGCGTAATAGGCGAGTAATCATCCCGCATCCTGGTAACTATGCAACGCGCAAAGCGCGGTGACGTAGCGCGTTGCATAGCTACCAGGATGCGGGATGATTACTCGCCTATTACGCGAGCGCTATGTTACCGCTACGTGCAGCTGGGGAGGTAGGGGTCAACATGTCACAATATCATAGTTAGAAATGTTAAACCTCCTACGAGGTTGCAGATGTGTCTCTGAAAAAAAGGGCCGTATCTACTTAAGTCTTGCAACTGATTTCTGACTTCGCATGCCTACTTCCCAATGCCGTTAGCATTGAATGCTATGATTTTCAGATATCTATGAACTACTCTTTCCATTACTTTCCAACAAACTAGTCACCAAACTAATAACTACCTTGGTTATTATAGCGCCCTTTCTTTGCTCTGTAGCAGCAATTCTGTCACAATCTGCTGCACCGTAGCAACGACAGAGAACGTATCGTCCATTGCATTACTGTTTACATTTGAAGCATGTACTGACTGACTGAGGCCTGATTGCTGACCTATTATCTACAGTGTCGCGTGTTTCCTAGGTAACAAAGCAAGAAATTTATGTGGGTCTCGGATTTTAAGAAGACGTTTATTGGACAATCACATTTTACATTGTTACATTGC